CCATACACCATACTAGAGGCAACACACACTGTACAAGCCTCACTTTTATTGTCATCTCTTATCCTTAAGTTCAGACTACATTGGATTTATTGGCAATAGGTCTTGCCAGTGAATGGCACTTTCATTTTTGTTTTGCATACTTTATTATCAGGGAATAAGCTATATCCATACCAAATTTCATTTATTTATATTCAGTATTTTTTTAGATATTTGATAAAATGTCTTCCATCTCTTAATTTTGTCCACTAGTGTATATTTAACAGCATGAATTACCAGTGTCTTTTTTAGCGTTAAAGGTAGAATCTTTCAAACACGGCTCACTTCCAAACAATAATTTTTCAAATTTGCACGTATTCGCAGTTATTTAGGTCTGAGATAAGCAATTATTCATAATTGAAATTTCTTTAATTTACAAAATCAATTATTTTAAATTTTTAAATATGAGAGAGAAGAAAAATCTTCTTCAAACTTTTTTTTTTATTTTATATTTTAGTAAAATATAATTCCAATAATCTAACAAATTTTCTTATTAACTATTAGACTGTTTTTATAATTAAAAAATACCAAAATACATTTACTTATAATTAGAGGGTAAGAATAAAATATACATTAAAGGGAAACCGGTCTCTCATCTGCTTCAAAGGGTTAAAAAAACATGCAATAATATGGAATAAAATTAAATTATGTAATTTTAAGGAATAATATGGAGAGTAAATAAAACTGTCCCAAATAATAAATCTGTCCGAGTGACCCAAAATCAATTAAAAAAAAACTATGAAAAAAGAATAGTAACTATTTAGTAACTCCGTCTTACTGATAACGCTGCTGACAGGGAAAACTATACATTACAAAACCTTGTTTTCTGGTTCATAGACTATAAGACTGAAATATTTATATAAGTTTTATTAATTTTTTCTTCAAACTCCACAATTATTTTGCATATGTGGTGGTAGTTTTTAGCTTTATCTGTTAACAAATTTTGTAGCTAAGTTTGAATTTAAATAATATTACTACTTACAATTTTTCATTTTTAAAAGCAAAAAGAGAATATTGAAAAAATTCCAGGAAGAAAAAGGTAACAGCCATTCACTTATATGATGTTGAAATTTAAATATTTACTACTTATAATTTTCGTAAAACATATTTACCATATAAAAAATAAGAGGCAGAAACAATGCAAAGTAATAGGGACACTGGTTAGCATTTCTTTTGTCTTCAAAATTGATTTAATAATGACAACTCTTTATTATTTAGTATAAGACAAATAAAATTTCTTAACAATAACTTAATAAAAGTTATTAGATAAAGGTTTATAAGATTCTAAGGTTCTATGTTTTCAATATGACGGTAAATAATTAAATAATCGATTAGTAATTCTTCTCAAACTTATCTGCAAATATGTAGCGTAATTATATAATTAAAGTGTAAAATTTATATGAATCTATAAATATGTAGAAAAAAAAATCAAAAAATTTTAAAAAAATCTTTAATCTATATCTGATAAAATCCTTAATTTATTTTTTAAAAATTACTTATAACTATTATATTTTTCGTGTGTCTTTATATAAAACTATTTTTAATTGAACATGTTTCGATTAAAGTTGGAACATTGAGAATTACACAACAGAAGAAGGTTTTAATACAAATTTAATGCTTGTGAATTTTTCAAAAGTGGCCCTTAAGAATACATTTTTAAACATTTTAAGGCATTAAGGGTCTATCACTTTATATAGCTCCCATAAGTAATTTTCTACTATATTTTTTTTAATTAAAGTATATATTACATCATATTTAAATGGGATATTGAAGACGTACATTTTTCACTACTTTCCGCTTCGATCCCACCTTTTATGGGCAGATATTTTTTGCAATTTAAAAATTAGTGCGTTGTGCGGACGATAGATGGCAGCATTACGATTAATTTAGGAGGATCTAAGAGGTGAGCTATCAAATTTGGAGGCAGTTCAATCCTATCGGCAAAAAAGGATGAGCCCCTCTGATTACTTTCATTTGTCACCAAGAAAGATGTCAATAAAATTAAATTTTATCAAATAAAGATAATATTTTTGCTTTGCTAGTATTATATGCATCCGTTTTTTATTTTGGATATTATACCACAAAATGTGCGTTTATGAAAATAAAAAGATCTTAATATGTATATTTGAGACAAGAGACACAGCTTAAAAAGTATATTTGAGTAAATGGACATAGTTCAAAATGCGTATTTAAGAAAATGATCACAGCACATAATGAAGGAATGGACATAACTTTTAATGCGTATTTAAGGAAATGGACATGGCTCAAGGTTAAAAAAATCAACAAGACAGATTCTAAACATAAGTTTTCACAACTGAACCAACCAGGGAATTAGCTTATTTTTTTCATAATCATTAAGAACAAAGTATTTAAAGTAAACGATAATTATCGAAAGCAAATAAATCCACTCTAAAAGGATATTTAAAAACAAAATTTCTTCAAACATATAATATTTTATAACTTTTATACTTTTTTCCCTGTAAACTGCTACCCTGTAAAATGAACTATAGACCTTTAAAGACAGTAAAGCTAAAAAACTAAATTTTTAAAAAAATGTTATATGATTTATATAAATGGATGACATAACATAACGAATTTATATTCATTAGTTAAACCGACAAAAATAAATAAAAGAAAAAAACATTATCTGTAAGAGTAGTTTGAAAATCGAATCAAACCCTATGTCCATTTTTAAAAATACGCATTTTTAACCAAACCACGTTTCTTCTCTGAAATGCGCTGTTTAAGCTACGTCCATTTTCTTAAATACACAATTTGAACAGTGTCCATTTTCTTCATTATGCACGTTGAGCTAAGTTCATTCTCATAAATACGCCTTTTGAGTTTGTTTCATTTTCTTCAATACGCATTTCGAGCTCTGCACAAAGTAAGAATCTCATCGACAATTTACTAATAAATGTATTTATATATACTTATATTTAGTAAAGAAATGTGGATTGTATATTAATTATGTAAACATTGCAGAAAAAACTAAACATCCGAAATAACTTTTGAACTGATGATCAGATTTTCTCTAATTAGGATTCAATCTTAATAGTTAGAGAGATTTATCTAAGACATGCTAATTTAATAGTAGAGACGATGTTTTGAGCTATGTAATCAGGTACAAAAAAGGGACTTTCTCTGAATTTACACGCCTCTTTTTTTTTTTTTTTTTTTTTTTTTTTTTTTTTTTTTTTTTTTTTTTTTTTTTTTTTNTTTTTTTTTTTCTTTTTTCTTTTTTTGACTGATTTGGATTCTTAACCCTCAAAATAGGGTAACCACTATCTGAGAAACGTAGTCCAATATTTTGGTCAGGAAAGCGTCGTAAGTTAATTTTACTTTGTAAGTTAATTACGCCATATATCGAGAATTTTTTTTAACGAATCGAAAAATTTTTAAACACAATTATGAAATTCCTTTATCCAAAGATATTTTCGCGAGAAAAAAAAATTTGAATAAGCATTTATTATTTTCTTTTATTTAATTGTAGTCGAAAAATTTTAAAATTGTGAGGCATATGAATTTTACATAATTTCAAAGAATGTAATTTTATATAACAACATACAAAATTTCAGCAAAATCAGTAGAATCGTTTTAACGGATTATGGGTCAGAGAACCCTTGCCCCTTTTGTGGTTTTCCTCTCCATGTAACGCAAATACGAGTTAGTTCCATCAAAAAGTGTTCATCAAAGTTCTCTTGTCTCCTAGATTGGGTTCAAAATTACAATGCTTCGGAGTTAAACATTGATAGTCGTACACCCAGAGTGTGATCGGCTGCGCAACGACGGTTATAAAATAAAATAAAACCTGTTTCAGTGAGCCGCGGTGCCTCAGGGGATAAAGCGTTCCCCTCCCAATCAGGTGACACAGGTTTGAATCCCAACAGTGGGTTGGTTGGTACTGATTTCGCTCCTGACTCGCTCAGACCACAATGCTGATATAAAATATTCTCAGTGATAGACGGATCATGGGTTAGAGTCCCCTTGCCTTCAGGTTAACCGTGGGAGGTTTCGTAGTTTTGCTCTCCATGTAACACAAATGCAGATTAGTTCCATCAAAAAAAGTACTTCACAAGAGCTAGTTTGTCCCAATATTTGATCCAGGAGTTCAATTCTTCTCCGAGTTGGGTTCAAAATTACAAGGCTGAGTTAAATATTGATAGTTATAAACTGTAAATTTTGTCGGCTGCGCAATGCCGGTTATCAAATAAAATATGTTTCAGCCACTATTCAATTTTGATTGGAGCAATGTATACATATCATTGCCAGAACCCTATCCAAGGTCCATTCGAGCAATCCCAATTTCGGCCCCTGGACGTACGCTCTTGCATTAACTTTGTGGAGGCAATTTCCATAAGGGACATGATGAAATTGTTGTTGAAGTATATTTATAGCATAAGGGACATGATGAAATTGTTGCTGAAGTATATTTATTACATAAGGGACATGATGAAATTTTGTTGCTGAAGTATATTTATAAGAAAATCAGTTCATAGTTAAGGAATAATATAAGTACCATAAACCATTACATTCGGTGCAAATGCACTTCCATCTTAGAACAGTGTAAATTGAATCATTTTTCAGTCTTTTAAGTGGAACTAATATATAGTACATTCAAAATTAAATAGTAAGAAAATACGCTTTAATTTAGCACCATATTAAATTTTCAGTGAATATGAGCACAATTAGAGTTTAATGCGCTCCCAAATTTCTAACAGTGTATTGAAATTTTTAAGTGTATTGAAACCTACCATTTATACATCAGATGTAAGGCTTTTTCAATAGAAGGTGGAATAAAACCAAGACTTAAAATAAAGAAATTTTATTTATAAATCGAAAAAATATTTTTCTTAAATAAATATTTATTTAATAACTCGACGTTACATAAAACAACAAAATTGACAAATCTCCTTAAGTTTTAAATTATGTCACAAAGCTTAAACAAATTGAAACATTTTTTCCATTCTTAATAAAAGGTCTTCCCACATTTTGGATGATTATTCTGAAATTTAAAAGAAAATAATTACTTTCCAGACACTTCACATTATTAAAAATATAATAATCAATATTTTAAATACTTAGTACTCTAAACATAATTATGAGTGTAAATAAAAGAGGAAAATTCTAATTTAATTTTATTTTATAAACCGTACAAAAAATAATAATTGCAACTTTTTTTAAGTTTTAATACATTTTATAAATTTCGGCATTATTTAATTCATAATGAACGCTTAAAAGAACTCACAATTTTTTTTCTCAAATAATAGGCATTACTTGGTAAAATAATGAAGGCCTTAAAAATATTTTACCGATTTTACAGCTATATCAATCTATAAATTCTCATTACATATTTTTGAAAGCCCATGCTGTAAAAATTCCAAATCAAATTACGATAAAAAGTACCAGTACTTTTTACTGTTAAATTCATTTTTACCGGAAATAGTTACGGAACCGTATACCGTAATTTTTACAATAATAATTACCGTATAATCACTGAATCACTCTAATTAAATAAATATTATTGTAAAAATTACGGTGTAATATAATGCAGTAAGAATTGATTTTACGGACACTGTAATTTAATCCGGAACTTTTTACAGTTCATACAATCGTAAAAAAGAGAACACTAAGAATATGAAAAGACCCAATCAAATTTATTCTATTCCCAAACCTAATAAGAACATTTCAGGATACACCCAAATACTTCAACTTACTTCCTCTTGAAATTCAAAATATAAATAAATATCTAGAAAAAATTCTATGCAAATTTTGTCGTCTAACATATTGTTATAATTACATATATGTTCATTGTCTGTTAAGATATTAACTTTTTGAATAACATTCTTTTTTCACATGTGTGTTCTTAAGAAATACTCAAAAAAAAAAAAAAAATTCTTNATTTCTAATGGCGGGCACTTGGGATATATTGTCCCCATTGGCCAGGAGTGTCAGAACTGCTACTCTCTTCTCGTTACCCAGTGGGCACCTGTGGTGAAGCCGCGGTGGTAGAGCAGCGTCGCCCACGTCACACAACCACAAACCCTTTTATAGGGCAGATCACATTCATACAAAGGAGAAAGGACATAGAACACAGAGAGAAAGAAAACATCCATGCCCTGAGCGGCATTCGAACCCGCAACCATCGACTCCGCAATCAGGCACGCTAACCGCTCGGTCACCAGGTTGGCATACTCAACTTTATAGATTAAAAACTAAAATATGTGTAAGCCCTCATACCTAGTATATCTACATTACTGTAATTTTTCTTTCTCTTTATCATAACTTTTTAAAATTACCGTAATATGCTACTATGTACGCAATAAAATTGTTACATACTACTGTAATTTCTTTATTTCCAATAGTATGCAACTATTGTACATAAAAAATATGCATTTAACTTTTTGCTTTAAAAAATATAATAAGCAACTAGTCTAGTTGCAATAAAAATACATTAAGTGCAACTAAAATTTACAATAAAAAATATACTTGCACTTACAAATACTTGTTCAAAATATATGCATTTTCTGTACAAATGTACTATGTATCTAGTGATTCAAAAGATACTTCATTCATTACTTCACTGTACTCTTTTTTTACTATTAATTTTTTTTTTAAATTTATGGAATCAGGAATATATCTCATAATTACCAAAATAGAGAATGAATGCATATCTGTTGCTGAATATTTTTATTTGATTCGCATTTTTTAACTCAAATATTTTTTACCACTTGCATACGAATACAAATAAAATCTCATAAGATCCAATTATAATATGAAATTATTTTGGCGAATCTTTGCAATGAGATATTTTAATAATGAATGTCTTAAATGAGAAAAAAAAGTGTTTATTTAAATATCAGTTTAACTCAAAATCTATTGTTCATTAATCTACTCTTATATTCATCAAGTTTAATACTCACTTTCATGTTTTCACACACAACCTCTTTTAAGTTTCGGAGGCCTCGTCTTTGCTGATCTCTAGTATACACCTGAAATTTAATGTATTCTTTTTTATAATACTCGCGAAAATTTACTGCATAACAGAAATACATAACGGAAATAGTAAAAATGGTTTTTAAACTATTAAATAATAGATGACTGATTTTGCATATTAACTCCAAACATGTTACACTACGTAAGTATCATATGGTTAGCATAAAATTATTTTTTTTATTAAGAAACGGAAGCATGAACTTTTATGAAAATTTTGAAAGTTTTGAAATGTGTAAATATTCGAAATCATAAAAATATATTTTAACAAAAAACAGAAGCATGATTTTCAAAAAATATTCAGATTTTTATTTTGTAGGTGATGAATTAAAAAATATTTTCATTTAACTTATTTTTAAAACAATATGCATGTTAATGGTTCGTTTTTCACTTGTGATATTTATCTGTATTAAAATCGAATTTTAAAATAAATCCACATAATTCTTGTTTAAGTTAAAGTCATAATGGATGCAAATATTTTCTACTTTGAAAAAATACAGTACCTATTACTTGAAAAATTATTAGATTTGATTTAGAAATTTGAATTTTTGAAAAAAAAATCTGTTTCATGAAATAATGATTAATGTGCTTGTTAGACTCATAAAGCAGAAACAATGGGGAAGTTTTACTGCGCAAATTTGGAAATATATTTTTTAAATGTCCTCCTTTCTAATCATAAAAATAAAAACAACGGAGCATTGTTTTTATTTTTTTACTTGAAATAAAAACTTTTTTTTTTTGCTTTAAAAGTGGAACAAAATGTCGTCCTGGCAAATTACATCGTGTTTTGGTCTTTCAAAATATGTTGACATGTTTTTCCAAATTTTATAGTAAAATTATAGAAGATTTTTCGCTACAATTTTCTTGGAATTATCCATTTTAATTTTTTTCATTTATAAGAAGGAAAAAATGCTAAAATATAGCTTTTTACTGAATTTCAAATTACTATCCTATCTTGCATATACTTATAAAATAAATTCCAGAGATATTTAACATCAGATTGTTTTCGCGATTTTAGTATTATACTGTGAGATATTCCAGGAGCGTATTGAACTATTAACTTTACGAATTTGCAAACTTTAATATGGTGCAATGTTGAACTACAGTATTTGTCAAATTTTTAACGAGAATATAATTCATAACACCCTCGATTCTGATTACAATAAATTTGTACCCTTTTTACGACAAATTTGCACCTTAGTTCAAGATAGCGATATTATGGTTCAACGTTTAATCGATTTTTAAGTGTTACTTTCTTCATTTCTTCATTTTAATATTTTACGATTAACCAGTAGGCTGATATTTTCATCAATTTATTTCGAAATTTCTTGCGATTATGTCAGTCAATGACTTGGTCCTAACCAATTAAAACATCTTATGTTGATGATTTACCTAATGTAGACAATAGCAAGCTACCTAAAATCGGAAGAAACTTGGAAAACTTCCAGTAAGTCCCTCCATTCATGTTGCATTTATTATGTATGAAGGAACGTTGAACCTGTAAGCGTATGGCTTGCGTTTACAGGCTCAATATTCTACGGATTTTTATTGTTGAGATCAGGATTTATATTTTAACTAAATATAAAAATTCGTGAGATTTTTTAAAGTTTTCTCCGTTTTAAAAGGTCTAAAAACGAAAATTGAACTAAAAACTTTAGAGAAATTCACTAAACAAAATGAATCTTTCGAGTGCTATTGCTTTTTTTGATATATTTTTGTTTAAATATAAAATTATTCCTTTATTAAATTTTTTTTCACTATATCACTCAAAATATTGCGAAAGGGCGAAAAAACAATCGACATAAAAAGCATCACCATAAAAAAAAATGAAAAAAAAAAGAATTCTAAGTATTTATCAGACAGCCGCGGCTGCCATAGCAACAAATGTACACTGTTTACTATTACTCTTGAACACAGTTGAAAAGTGTGATGACTTCAAATAAGATGCGCACGCCATCAAACCCAAACTAAGGCTCATTTTGCCAATGGGTAAAAATACAACTCTAGAAAATTGGTACAAAATCGCAAATTTTAAACTTTGTTGTGCTATTAAATCGGAAATGGAAGCCAAGAAATTTCCTTATTTTTTTTTGTTTGTTTCGTTAACTTGTGTTTTAGCCATCATTGCTTAAAAATAATAAATTATCATCTTGAATTACCCACCATGAAAAAAAAATAAAGATAATCAATTTTAATGCATAAGCAGCCAGCCTATTTTAAAATCTGTATGTCTAAATTCATGTGACTACTTTTTTTGTGCAAAGGTAGAAAGTGGCGTATTTTGCACTTACTCTATTAATAACAATCCATGGCACAAAATTAAGTCGAGGACTTAAAGCATTTGTAATCTTGTAGTTCTCATAGAGTAGTCTATTTCCTTCCTCACCATCAGCACACTTAGAAATTTTGTTCCAGTCTAAGCCAAGTCGTTTAGCACACTATTAAAATAAGAAAAAAATCCAAATAGTAATATTTTGCTTAAATAATGAACTTTTTTTTATTAAAAATGGCTCGCGTAAAAATTTAAGTTGTACCTTAGAACCACTTGAAGAGGGTCTGGGATAAGCCTCCATGCAATTAACTAAATTCATATGATCTTCCGGTTGTGGATACAAGGAAATAACGCAACTCTGAAATTAAAATATGCTTTTATGTAAATTATATTCATTTATAAGAAGCTAATAAAACATTTTTATGTAAAATATATTTAACACATTAAAATTTAATTCTGGAATATTAGCTATTATAGGATCCCATTGCTGATGAATTTTCAAAAAATGATATTTGCTTCATTCTGCCTTTGACAAAGTATGACATCTCGTAAAATAATGCCAAAAAATACTATTCAGGTAATAAAGCTCTATTTGAAATGGAATACCAATGAAAACATCTGAGTCATGCGAAATTTCAAAACTTTTAACTTCTTAAAACAGTTTCAGTAATGTCTAAATTCTAGTCTGAGGTTAAGTGCTGCTGGTGTTTGTCTTTTTAATCTTTTTAAATTAAAAACACTTGTTTAGTTTAATAAATATTTCATCCATCGCGATAAATAAAAGACTAATGAACACAACATGTTCAGTTACTTTTCAAATTTAACAATTGATAGCCTAAAAGCAAACTTCACTCATTGTTTAAAAATTAGAGCATTTAGAAGGAGTTGTTAGAACAAAAAGAGATTTTACATATATAAGTACAACGTTAATAAAGGTAAGTGAGTAAAAAAAATTGAAGCAAAACTAGCATTTATTGAAGGAAAAAATCTAAATGAATGGAGATTTTAGTGCAATCTTGGGATTTCATGAACGTAATACTGGGGAATCATCGCACCATGGATTAATATTAAGGATGATCATGCGTCGTATACAATGGCACCCCATTCCTTGACAACATATAAAAGTGGTCTGCTGTTGTATAACGTAAGCAGGATTGATGATACCGAACGTAGCCTTCGTTTGGTGTTGCTCTGGACGGGATTGGACTGCAAACGAATCGAACCAGGTCGTCTTCAGGGATGAATCCAGGTTTAATTTGGGCAGTGATGTCCATCGTGTAGAGGTCACGTTGTGAACGCCTCAATCCTAGAAATGGACAACTAATTCGCGCCAGAGTTGGCCCAAGAAGTACTAAAACCAACATCCATTTGTATTTTTTCCTGCATTAAATGATCATTTTGCTTTGTTTTTTTTAACCACTTACTTATATCAACATTTTACCTACGTATGTAAAATTTCGTTTCATTTTAATAACTCTTTCTAGGTGAGCTAATTTTTATGCCAATGTTTGAGCCAATCATTATAATAAAACCTCCTTTTTTAACTATGCAAGTTAATTTGTTTTTTAAACTATGCATACATTGATGTCGTTCCTTAGAACAATTTGGAAATTAATGGCGCCGTTGTTGCTAAGTCTTCGTTAAAAGTTAGAATTAAAAAATAACTTTAAGAATCAGCAAAAAAAGTATTCATATAATGTAAAAGATGCAAAACGAAATTCTACATACAGATTGCTTGAATTAAACTGACGGCATTCAAATCTGGTAACTCCAGATCTACTGAACCAATTTGAATGAAACTCCAAGCATTTGTTATTTAGATCGGGGGGCAGAGGTTTCCAGCAAGAAAAAAAATTTTCGAAATTTGCGATCTGGTAAAAGGAAAGATAGCAGTTTAAAAATTCAAAGTTTTACGGAACATTTTATTTATTTATATCTTACGTGCTCCGTGTGCATACCTTGTAAATCATATGTACAACGATTACGTGTATGCATCCTCTGCATGTAATTGTTTCATCTTTTGACGAAATTTCATGAAATTTTCTTTCAAAAAAACTTTGACCCAGTGACCTAAATATCATCTATTGGAAATATCGTGCGGATTCATTTAGTATAACAAGAGCTAGAAGCCTCTGAATACAATCAGTTTAATTTTGAACATCCTCTACAGCATAAAATGTTTCGACAAATATAATTTTTAATCGCGACCCCTTGAAAAAATTTTAACAAAAACATAAAGTTTACCTGTACTGTATTCCCCAGACATTCAGCAGGCCCATGGTGACAGTTGAAATCATATTGCTTGGAAACTTCGTTAAAATAAGCCTAAAGAAGAAAAATAAAAGCAAAATCTTTTATTTTTAAAAATTGTGTACAATCTGCAAAAAATGTGAAATTGTGTTCGACCATCAAAAATTGTGTTGCTTAAATGTTAACGTTTAAATCATAAATGAAGTATATTTGAAGAATATAATTAAAATATACGAACATAGGGAAATATACGAACATAGGGAGATAGTTTTATTTTTCTTTTCTTTTTATTATTTTACCACGTTTATATAAACTTGCCTTCGTGTATGTCTGTCCGGGTGGAATTTTGTAATCGGTTTTAAACTAACTTCCCGACTAGCTACAAACTTCAAATTTGGCACATAGTTCAGAATTGGATGACAATGCATGAAAATGAAAAGAAAAAAGACATACAAAGTAAAATAAAATTAAAATTTAAAAAAAAAATTAGTTTCGAGATTGTCTTTTGTTGTCGATTCCATTATTTCAAATTAGTATTACATGTCAGGTGAAAAGATTCTTATTGTCGGAGTATTTTTATTGGCTGAAAAATCACGTGGTAGGATCCAGTTTTTCCTCATTCATTTCCAGATTGTTTTGGTTGTCATCAGCATAAAACTACTGAAAGTCGTAGAGGTATTGTTCTTCTATAAAGATTTTTGTATCCCTAATTTAAAATGAAAGTTCTATTATTTTAGTAGTGGTCTTGTAGTAGTCTTGACTACTCTTGACTAAGAAAAATAATCTAAATAAAAATATATATTTTTAAAAACCACGTTTTTTGTAGTGAAGAATAATAATTGAAAAGTAATAATTTTTAAAAAATATAAAATAAAAATTAAAAAAATTATAATTTAAAATAAAAAAATTCAAAATAAAAAATAATATTTTTAAAAACCACGTTTTTGTAGTGGAGAATAATAATTAAAAAAAAATTGAAAAACGAAAAACGTGGGGCGCATGAAATACATAACAGTACATATACACATACATATACACATTTTCTTACTCATACACATGCACAGCCACATATACATCCACATACATATGCATATACACAAACATATTCCACATCCACATTCAGATACAATTACAATTACAGATATACATACACATATTCTCATGAGCTCACATACACACACTAATATAACATTACTGTTATGTATTTCATGCGCTCCACGTTTTACGTTTTTCAATTTTTTTTTAATTATAATACTCCACTACAAAAACGTGGTTTTTAAAAATATTACTTTTTATTTTGAATTTTTGAGTTAGAGTAGCCAAGGCCGTGTTGCCAAGTGTTGGGTAACCAAGACAATGCGAATGTCTTAATCACGAAAGATGCTACCTCGAACACAACAGTTAGCATGGTTTTTCGAAGTTCGTTCTCCAACCAAAATAAAAATAAAAAAAAGCCACAGTTTAGAGCCTTAGACTTGAGGCAAAGCTATAATTTTAAACTATGTAGATCATCTTGTCGTAAAGAATTATCTAGGCTTTATAACAGAGAAATAACAAGAATATTTTAAAAGTTATTAAACTTTCTCAATTATCAATTTGGCGACATTTTTTTCGCCCAGAGGAAAATTATCAAAATAAATGACTTATTCTCTTTTTCTTTTTTTTTTTTTTTCAAATTTTTATGAGCCCAAATAATAAAGTATTTTATTTTATAACCGTCATTGAACAGCCGACCCAATTTTCGGGTTTACGACTACTTATGTTCAACTCCATAGCCTTGTAATTTTGAACCCAATCCAAAAGACAATGGGAGCTCCTGGATCAAGTATTTTGAGAAATTTGACTTCTCGGAGAACTTTTCGATGGAACTAACCCGCATTTGCGTTACATGGAGAAGAACACCGCGAGAACCTCCCACGGTTATCCTGACGGCAAGGGGACTCTAACCCATGATCCTCCTACTACTGAGGATATTTCACATCGGCACTTTGGAGCTAGCCGGATAAGGATTTCGTATCAACCAGCCATCGCTGGGGTTCGGACCCAGTTCACCTCATTGGATGGCGAATGCTCAATTCCTTGAGCCACCGCGGCAATGCAGTATTAGAGTAAGTTTTTAAATATCAAGAAATCAGACCGCAAACGCTTTTCATTTCCTGAAAACTATGCCTTTTCTCCGTATTAACGTTTTGCGCCATTTTCGGAATAAACATAGGCACTGGCTAAAAATAGGCTAAACTTTGCTTAATGGTCATGAGTAACTTTTGCTAACTCACAGCAGTTGTGAAAATAGCATTTTATTCACAAAAAAGAATAACTTCATGTGACTACAGAGCGTTCGAAAAATAGTCTTAAAAGCGAGATCCAGAACTCGCTCATGAATAAACAGGTCAAAGGATTGAAAGTGTTTTTCCTTAAGCATTGGAGGGTCACATTTGAAGTCAGGGTAGTTTATTTTTATAGCTTAATAATCCAGCTTTTATTTTATACCAGTACTAGCTGTATGACATTTTTTTACAATCCATAGGCATTTACTAAGAAGAGATTCTTTAGAAATTGAAGTAGTTTATTCTTTATAACTTAATAGTACAGCTTTTGGTTCACACTAATACTATCTGTAGAGTAGCTAGTTTTTTACAATGGTATCCATACACATTTACAAAGAAGAGTTGCATTTGAAGTTAAAGTAGTTTATTCTTTATAGCTAAATAATTCAGCTTTTATATTACAGTAATACTAGCTGTAGAAACTAGCCATAGAACTGCTAATTTTTTACAAAGGGTATTTAAATTTTGAATAATTTGGACTTCTTATTAAAGCATATTGCAATTACAACTCTTTGAAAAAATATAAAAACTAAAACTTCAGCTTAAATAATTGTAAGAGACAAAAATTACCTTAGCTAATTTTAAAATTACCTTAAAAATTACCTTAACTACAAATTACTTACTAACTAATTTTGAATAATTATAAAATTATGGCCATTGTTTTAACTGATGAAGTTTAAAATCTATTCTTCTAGACAGTTTAATAAGTGCATTTAATCATAATCATGTATTCAGTTCATATCTCATGGTTGCAGGGCTCGGTGCAAGTAAAATAATAAAGCTCCAATTTCAAATGATTTAGAAGAGCGTTTATGGTAGAAAACACCACGAATTCTATATCTTTAATAAAATATTTCTGTGTATTGTTTTGTAAGATATTGGAAATTCGAAAAGCTTGCAAAGTACCTATCTGGGAATCCTGCTAAGGAACGATGTGTGTTAAAACATCACCTTAGCTGTTCAGATAATCACTTTATTTCACTACGCCTTTCAAGTCTACGAAGATAATAATGCATTTTTTTAAAAAGAGGGATACTTACTGTTCCTTTGCCAAAGGGTATCAAACGAATCTTGAGAGAATTCTTCATCTCTTGATACAGAGGATATAATTGCTGTGTTACGAATCGCATACTGTCTGGACAATTTGTTTCGTAATATATGTCCAACTGCACAGGCTCAGTGTCAGCAGTACTAGTTAAAGGGCGATGAACGGGATTGAGAGAAGAACCAGAAGTTCTAATGGAATGCAATGGATAAATTGGTCTTCCATTAACATATACTCGTCTATGGTAACTGCTATATTGTGCTTCACTGACCTATAGATAATAAATGTATGCAATTGATATACTAATTTTGACATTAAATAGAATATCTTGGAATAAAATTTCCTTTTATTATAAGATTTAAAAATACCTTAAAATATACAAGGGGACGATAAAAACTAAGGGAAATTAGATGTATATGGTTACTATAAAATAAAAAATTAATTAATTGAAAACGACATAAGCTCACTCAAAATCGAAGGAAATTATTGGTTTTTATGAAATTGTTTCAATGAATTTGTTTATGAAATTGTTTTTATGAAATTGTTTCCGTCGCACTAGCATTAGAAAGCGCCCGAAGCGGAATAACGTAAAATTGGGGTTAAAAAAAAATTATAAATATATTTTTTGAAAATTCATACTGACGAGATGAACTATTAGAAAAAATGTGTAATCTTAACAAGTTTTTTTTTCTTTCTTTTCAGGGGAAATTTAAAAATATTCCTCTCAATATCTATTGTTTGCAAATTTACTTTATCGTTTACATTTGCGAATGTTTCAGAGTTCTTATGCTTTCAAACTCTTAATCAGTTGTGGGTACATCCTCTGATATATTTTGCTCACCTTCATCGTTTTCAACACTATCATCGGGAACAAGCATTAAATCAGATATCGAAGGAATTGAAAAGTAATAGCATGTGTTCTGTAGTCTACATACACTTCATCGATTTCGGAAGATCTTCACACGTGCAATTTTATTCCAATGGGCCAACCTTCCCGCTGGATACCGAGAGGCAATTAACCCCGTGAAATATTACTAAACCCATTTGTAATGCCGTTTAATCGACACTGTCCAATACCGTAAGAATTAAATTCAGAGCTTCCAGAATATTTATTTTTGCTTTAGAAGCATCTTGCAGATCACCGGAATCAAGACAAAAAATGGTCGTATAGCCAGTTGTTCAGCGCAATGTTCTCTCAATAATTAGATAATCCAAACGTTAAAATTTGCTGAAAAATTTTTTTATGATTTAAGCTGCCATACTTACATTAACCACCCTTGCCTATCCCACCACTCTTCTGATTTAGACACTAGAAGGAAGTCCCATCATACAGACAAAAGTACAATAACATAGAATAGAAGGAATGTCAGAAAAGCTACAAGCAGCTAATAACAAGTCTCTTAAAAAACAATAAAAAAGAAGAAATAGAAAACTCAGGAAAAGTTTGTGTGATCTTTGTAGAGAAATAATGATTTTGATCCGTTTGAGAAACGTATAAAGCGGAATTTAAGAGGGGTAACGTAAAATCCGGGATAATTTAGCATCATCGATATAGGCAATTTTCACGGACCAGCATAAAATGACACGGGAAGTAATACAACTTGCAAAGTGCAACCCGGGATCTACGTATTTGCACCGTGGAATTTTTCCTTTTTTCAGATAAATACACTCTATAACAAAAAAATCCACTCACCAAGAAGCAATCATCCGATTGCTTTGAAATTTCGTATGCATGAATGTTTTGAACAGATATGGCCTGAATGATGCTGACTGGGGACGTATAGTCTTTAGCGACGAATCCCGCTTCCAACTGTGTCCTGACGATCATCGAAGACGTGTTTGGAGACGCACAGGGCAGAGGGGGGATCCTGCCATCCCTATTGCAAGCCATACCGGCCCTCAACAAGGCATTATGGTCTGGGGTGCCATTTCCTTTGACAGCCGGACCCCTTTGGTCGTCATTAGAGGTACACTTACTTCACAGCGGTACGTCGACGACATCCTAAGACCTGTTTTGCTACCGTTCCTTTTGCAGTGCCCTGGGCTTGTTTTTCAGCAGGACAATGCCAGACCACATACGGCACGTGTTGCTATGAACTGTCTGCAAGCTTGTCAAACTTTCCTTGGCCTGCCAGATCACCAGATCTCTCTCCCATCGAACATTTCTGGGATATGATGGGAAGGCGATTGCATCTGGCACGGAATGTTGATGACCTCGTTCGACAATTGGATCCAATTTGGTAGGAAATACCGCAAGAGACCATCCGGGAGCTTTATCGGTCTATGCCACGCCGTGTGGCAGCTTGTATCTAGGCTAGAGGTGGATCAACACCTTATTAAACTTGTAACTGTGACTCTGCAATAAATTATTCAATTGTTCTGAAATTTTACTCATTTACTATTCTGTACATTGTCTTCCTATCCACCAATTTTCGCTTCAATCGGACAACTCCTTCTTGGTGCGTCGATTTTTTTTTGTTATAGAGTGTATGTTCTGCTCATGTCACTCTTTAAAACTGTACCGTACCTTTTGTTTCTCTGATGTTATGAAAGTAACAGTTATAAATACGTGTGATTCAATATGAATATGGATCCCATATGTAGCAATATAATGGACTATTAAAAAATTTATTAAATTTATTTACAATGGACAATTATCTATTTTTTGAGATAAGTAGTTTATTTCTTGTAAATGGTTTGAAAATTTTGCTTCTAATTTGTTAAGTTTTATGAAAGTAGCAGTCAAATATTAGTATGTATTTATCTGAAAATGTGTCCCAACATGCTTTTATACACATGAATTTTTTAATTTAAGATATTTGTATAAAAAAAGTTTTAATTTTTCAGATAGATGGTTTTTATTTATGCCACTCTTTAAAATGGTACCGAAGACTTTGCTTCTGAGATATAAGTTTTTATGAAATTAGCATTTAAAAGTAATCATATTTTTTCTGAAAAAGTTTCATAATAACTAAAGAGTCTATGGGCATATTTAAAAAATATTAAAAATGTCTTCTTCACACAATTTTTAATTTTTGATTAACCTGATTAATCGAACTTATACAAGCTGAAACATTGCAGAACTTGGTGTCACAAATCTACGCACCTATGTAGTAAATTTAATGTAAACTAAAAAATAACAGTTGGGGCAACATAAAATGATTTCAAAATGAAAGCAAACAATTTTTTGATATTTCAAACTGATAATTTATTTTTAGCATATTACATTAGTACATGCATGCATTTAATATATATTTTTAAATAATATACATTTAAATTTGCTTCGAATAAATCAATTTTGTCTCCCATAAGAATCTAGCTGATCGGGTTTCACTGAAACCTCTGTTATAAAATGCATCAAAACTAATGATAAGGGAAGCATTTTCGCAGAATTTCTGCTAACAAGTTTCATTCGAACAAGCAAAAAAAATTTCTGTCACTTCTACTTATCCATCCGGATATGAAAAATAAAAATAAACAATCTGTCTTCCTTCTCCAGTTATTTGTATTTCCGCACAACTCATAAATATTTGCATCGAATTCGATAAATCGCTAATAGATTTTATGAGCTTAATTTAACACGATTAGCGATTAAAGTATGCAAAAAGTTATTGGCCAATCAGCTTCTGCCATTTAAGATCTTAGTACTTAATTGCTTTTTTTATACTTTTACAATGTTATTAAACATTAAAAACAATTACTAAACATTAAAAACAATTATTAAACATTAAAAACAATTATTAAACATTAAAAACAATTATTAAACATTAAGTATAATTTATAACTTGGTTATTTTGAATGTTGTAAAGCACAAAAGATAAAATGGAACCGATTGATGCTCAAAGAGAAAGACAATGTAGAATATAAGTGAGCGCTTGTGATCAATAATTTGAGAATAATTTGATAAATAATCATCAACTATCAATAAATGTTGTCGCAGTAAGTCCATTATTTTAATTCCTTAATTATCCTACATTATCTACTTTTATAAGTAGTGCTATAATTTAAACTAAAAATAATTTAGATCCCGAATTGCTTTAATTTTGTTTAAAAAGGTCAAGAATGATAGTTATCATGAATATTTCCATGGTAACATTTCCTCTTTCTGCTGAATTATTTTTTTCCTTTTTGGATTTATATTTCGAAATTCCTTGCCGGTATAGTACTTTTAAAGATACATAAGCCAGTTTTTTATTAAATTTTCTTGATTCCGCACATCGATAGCTGCTTGCTGTATTCACAATACGAAATTCCTAGACTTAATGAAATCATAGAACGGTGTTAAAAGGTTTTCTATGGGATAAATAAAGTTTAGACTTGTTTATCTTAAAAATTATGCTTCGTATGAAGTAATGCGTTCCAAACTGCGTCCTATGAAATATTTATAATAGCCTCATGATTGAGATATAATTTGAATTTCTATACGAACATTTTTTGGAGAAATATAATCGGAATAAAATCCTTATACAAGAAAAGATATGAGTTGTATTCCTATAAGAATATTTTATATGAGGTAAGAGTCCCATACACAAATAAAAGTGGAGTAATATCGCGGGTTACGAAAATTCGACGGTTGCTGAAACTAAACTATTCTGCCAAGAAAATGTCAGATTTATTCAAGATATTTATTATTTAATTATGTACAATCTGACATTTTTGAAAAGTCATTGAATTGTATTTTTAAAAGATACATCATTTTAAAAGCACTCATCTATTCGTAACATACAACAATTAAGAAAAGCTTAATTCACTGTTTTTAGAATAAACACGCAATTAAATTGTTTCCGAAATTCTCATCATTTTTATACCACGAATGAAAACTTTTTTATTCACGCAAACTTTCGGCACTGCATCACACATAAAGAAAAAAGCGTCAGAATTCGCGTTTGAAAATGACGCAAACCTGGCATTTTTTATGAAAGTAAAAAAAAGTTGTTGTTTCGAAAACCTATACTGATAATGATAAACATTCTTTAAGGAAATAAAAGTAACAAAAAGTCATTGTTTCGGAAAACCTTTGATCAAGATAAGAAAAAAGAAATCTTTAAGTGAATCTAAGAGGGAAAATTTAAAAGAAAATAAATAAAGAGGCATAAAAAACAATTAACGGCCTAATTCGTAACAATGTAAAGAACATTCAATGATGAGCTATATATGTTAGAATGCTGTACATTTCAACAGAATAAGAAACTTTTGTTTTGTTAGTAATTATAAAAGTAAATAAATTGGAATGAAAAATTAATTTAAATCATGCTTTTTGCTATAAATTAT